GCTATACATCAAACCCAAACGAATATTGATTTTAAGCAGTGATCGTGACTGCGTTGATCCCTCGCTATTTAATTCCAAGTACGGACCCTGTTTACCCACGTACTCTGAACCCACATCCTGTCGCCTTGATTGAGAGAGATTCGAGAGCAATGCTAATTCCCGCACAGGTTTCATTTATTTAGTCTGCTAAACCTGTCCCCTGTTATCGGTGACCGTAAATCATGTGAGGTGAATCGGTAATCCATTTAAAGCATCTACTTACTGTGCAGTGAAATCTGTCTAAGTCCACCTGCGGAGCAATCTAGTCTGACCACCCAACAACACTACCAACAAGTTAACAAGATATGAACTGGACACAGGGAGCTGCTCTGATGACAGACAAACACCCACTGCCATGTTATGCCAGCACAAGAACATCCCCTTCCACCTTCTGATTCATTTCATTTCACAGTAAATATATAATACTCCTTGCTATTGATACAGCGTCTTATCATGTCATCGTGACGTCTCAAAGCGCTTCGCAGAATATACAGTGAAGTGAATTGACTGCATTTTTGTGGGCAAAAGGCAGCAGTGTCCCACAAAAATGCATATATCAAATGCAAGGAATATTATTATTATATATTATACAACTCAGTCAATTGTCCTAGTCTGAGTTTCCAAACCACATTTTTCCCCCCAGCATAACATTTATCATTATCCGATTTGTCGAGGGTACCTGTATTAACCTGTATTGTCATTGCAATCCTCCATTTCTATAAAGTAGAGGCATTTGGATAGGGTAGTGACAGTCACTGGTTGAATTATTTCTTGCGGGGATGAGTGGGACTTTTATCAAAATTCGCCTAAATTAACTTCTTACTCATCATTAATTCGATCAGCAGCTGGAGGAAACGAGTTCCGTAAAAAAAAAAAGAGGAATGAAGCTGACTTTGTAGATAAGGAGCTTGTCAGCGGGAGTAGAGTTGAGACAGGGCACAACAGCAGCCAGGTGCAGAGGGAAGATAGAGAAAGGAAAATAATGAGGACAGGAGACAGAGGAATAAACCGGCGGATGCTACCTGCTTGCTCGGGGGAGTATTTATTTCCTTTGTACCAGCTGGAAAGCCACTTTCCTCAGGCGAGTCAGAGGGTGAAACTTTCCAGGCTTGATCTTCCCGCTCCTTGCTATCAGTCGTGCTTCCGGGGTTTAAGGTAACCTGCCTTAAAAGGATGCCCTTTTCCCTGCGTTTTCCCCCAGCGACTGATGGGCTAGAATTCAGGCGAACGCCTGGTTTTAATACGGGCTTATCATCTTTTAACTTTTCGTAGGTTTCTTGCCTCCGAGCACTTTATTACCTCGCTAATTTTCTCTCTGCCCCTAAGGCATTTAACTCAACCTTTTCCTTCCAGCCTACTCTGCGGTACCTCGCTTAAGCAGCCGTTATTTAATTGCAACTGCTGACAAGAGTCTCTCAGCAATTACAACACTGAGTTGTATTTGTTTAGCGGTTTTCACATCAGGAGGATGTCCCAAAGGCAATGTTTTTCTACCTTCGTAGAAACAGGAGGCCATTCAGCCAGTCGAGCCTGTTCCGCCATTTACTAGATCATGACTGATCTGTACCTCAACTCCAAATACCTGCCTTTGCCCCGTATCCCCTTTGATCCCGATCTGACAAACATCTCTCCAACTCAGTCTGGACAACGTGAATGGATCCAGCCATAATCCACAGCCTTTTGGGGGAGGGAGAGAGAGTTCCAGATTCCCATTACCATTTGCTTGAGAAACTGCCTCCTGATTTCACTCCTAAATGGCCTGGCTCTATTTTAAAGATGACGACACCTTTGTTCATCACCCGGTGAAGCTTAGAATTCTTCAAGAGGGAACTATTCCGACCTGTGGCTACAGTTAGAAACTTTGAGTCATAATTGTGTTCGTCTGTGGTGTCTGTCTGTCTGCAGAGACCGTAGTGAGGAGCTATTTGCATATGAATGACAGCGTTAACAGTAAGGTCGATGAGCTTTGAATGATAATACGTCAAACAGGAATTTCACTCGAGGCTAATTTCATTCGACATTTCACTTCACTTTTTTCCCCCAGAGCTCTTCATCTCCCTCCGTCCTCTCCCTGCTGTTGGGCACTGGGACGGTGGTGAAGCTGGAAATGCAATCAGTCATGGAGAAACTGCTTCTACTGACAGGTGGGGCGGTAACCAGGGGACATAGATTTAAGATAATTGGCAAAAGAACCAGAGGGGAGATGAGGATAATATTTTTTTTACGCAGAGATTTGTTACAGTGTGGAATGTGCTGCCTGAAAGGGTGGTGGAAGCTTTCAAAAGGGAAGTGGATAGGTACTTGCAAAAGAAAAATTAGCCCGGCTACGGAGAAAGAGGGACTAGTGGTAGCTCTTTCGAAGAGTTGGCACAGGCACGATGGGCAGAATGGTCACCTTCTGTGCTGTAAGATTCTATGGTTCTAAGTTCCTGCGTGACTAGGACATTGTAAACAACAACAACATGCATTTATATAGATCCCCTCATGCAGGATAGCACTCCAAACCCCCATCTGCGTGCAAGGCACAACTGAACTCGCGAACTATTATGGAGGTGGGTGAAATTAAGACTTTAGCTATTGGAATCTTACTCTCCCGGCCCTCCACGTACAAGTTGCAATGCAAGAATTTACAATAAAGTACTCCAGCCACAAATGGTCCACAACTCCAACTAGCTACTGCTGTGGTCCCTCTTTGATTGAGAGCTACATTAAAGCAGAAAAGCGTTGATTGCTTAAAACGAAAGCAATCAAGTGGCCCCTTAAAATCAAGATAACACAGACGCTTGCGGTTCAATCTACAAACACACAACCTCAGCATTCTAAAGTTCACTTGGTTCCTCTTCAACAATCGCCAGATTTCTATCCAGTAATATAATCCCGGCAGCTCAGTCAGTTCAACACGGCACTTCCAGAAGGTGACTTGCTTGGCAACTGAATGTCGGAATCGAGCTTGCCCTCTGTGTCGGTCTCTAGTCCGGTTCCTGAGCCAGGAGGGTGGGCAGTATTCCAGGGCACTCGTTGCTGATGACAGCACAGCCCAGCCTGGCGCATCGGCAGGACCTGGAAGGGGCCGACCAGTCACTGGGGGCAGGGAATCCTCCTACTCAGCTCCTGTTAAACCTGCAAGCCAAGACTGTTTGAGGGATGCTGCTATGCTCAATTGGCTGCCATGTTTCGCCCCAAAAAATACACAGTCAATCCACTTTACAATAGATTATGTGAAGTGGTTTGAGATGTCTCAACAATGTGATAAGGAACTACATCAAATGCAAGGATTATCATTTTAATAGTATTATCACAAAATGTTTGAATGAAAAAGGCTCATTTAATCTTTTCCTTCTAGAATACAGTACAATCCAGCTGTCTTCCAGCATCAACTCGTTAACTATGTCCCAGTGATCTACCCTCAAAAACCCTGTCCAATAACCCAGTCCCAGTCATCAATTTGTGTCTGTGTAAAGAACCACTTCCTGGAGGTTGTGCTAAAGTTGCCTTTCACGCCCCTGAACCTGTGCCCTCTTGTCCTATTGACCTGGCTTATGTAAAAGTATTACTTTCTCTAGCCTGTTAAGCAGCTTAGACATCTCTGTAAGACCTCTTCTGAAGAGCCTTAGTATTATCCAGTTAGGCTGGAGGAGGTGAGTGTATATCATAGTGATACAATCGCTGCTTTAGAACCTGCTCCGTAATAATAATAATCCTTGCACTTGATTTGGTGCTGTTGAGACGTTTCAAAGTGCTTCACAGAATATACCGTAAAGTGAATTGACTGTATATTTTGTGGGCGAAACGCGGCAGCCAATTATCCCACAAACAGTTGTGGATTGAGTGACCATACTATTATTTTTTTGCAAGGGATTATTACCCTCGGAAAGTGATCCGACAATCGACTAACAATCCGGTCCCTACTTACTGCTAGGTAAACAGAGGCGTGTGGAGTAAGTAAGGAGACTTAGCTAAGGTTTCACCCTGCCCAGAATCAAACCCGGGTCCTCGCGCTTGCGAGGAGAGCGCTTTAACCACTACGCTACAGGACTCCACTGTAATGTGAACAGCTACAAATGCTATTGCATTAGTTAAAGAAATAATAGTAAAAAAAATAATATTCTCCACATATTCTCCTTAGGTCAACAGCAGTTCAGCATCCCTACAGAGCAGAACTAGGACCCAATGGGACTATCATAGGCATCACACCAGACCCGCTCCATGGTTGAAGAGCTACATTATTGATTCAGCTGTGATTCTCTTTAAAACAAATACATATGTGTATTGCGGTTACTTAGAACAGGATATGTGCATTCAACGAGCGATAGAGTAGATTGAGACTAGTCATTCTGAAACTCTTGAGCACTATTGCAAAAACAGAACAAACAGATTATGTAACATCATCAGTTGATGTAATAATAATCCTTGCATTTGATATAGCATCTTATCATGTCGTTGAGATGTCTCAAAGCGCTTCACAGGATATACTGTAAAGTGTAGAGACTGTATTTTGTAGGGGAAACTTTGTAGTGCCTGTGCTTTGATTCCAATGCCTGCCCAACCTTTTATCATTCTCTTCTGTTTACTAATATTGCCACGAATGGATCTTTAAAATCTACCTGGACAGGTTTAACCTCAGTTTAATTTTTTATCCGAAGGACAGCAATGCCCGTCCTAGGACTGTGCTGAAATATCATCCGAGACTCTAGTCCCGAGATGTGGATTGAGCCCACAATCTTCTGACCCAACAGCAACAACTTGCACTTACACAGCGTCCGTCACACGGGGTAGAGTCTCGGAGCGCTTGACAGTGACGGAGCCTGATGCTGAGCCAGGGGGAGAGAGGAGGTGACCTTAAGCACGGTTGAAGAGGAAGAGACAAGAATGCAAGCGCGGGCGGGCATAACTGAACCAAACCCAGCAAAATATATGGCCCAAATGCAACACCTTGTAGACAAACAAACACACAAACTTACATGGTGCGTAGAACATGACCAGGGCGTGTTTCTTTTTCTTGAGGAATTCCTTAAAGTCTTCGACCCCAAGATGGTTGACACTGCTCTGCTGCTCTTCCCAGGACTGCTCGGGGGGAGGAGGGGCTTGCGGGCTTCAGAATTTGGGGAGAAGGTAGATAGAGAAAAGAAGATAACAAAAGACACGTTAACTTAATTCAGTAGCAACAACTTGGATTTACACAGCGCCCCTCACGCAGGGTAGAGCCTCAGAGCGCTTGACAATGGCGGAGTACGATGCTGAGCAGGGGGAAGGTGACCGTAGGCACGGTTGAAGAGAAAGGTCTTTAGACGTGACGCGAAGATGGGGAAGGAGGGGGCAAAGCGGAGGGATAGGCGGCGAGTGTTCCAGAGGGCACGAAGGCCAAGCAGGAGGCTGGAACAAGCCGAAGGGTTGGGGAGTAAGCAGGTCGGAGAACTAGGGAGGTGCCAGGGCATGAAGAGATTTGAAGACGAATGGGAGGATCCCGAAATCGAAAATTCGGTAGTAAATAAATATTAACCAATTGGTTTTAGAGGCTCAACTGCTGCAAAATATGCGGGCAATTTGGTTTCGTCTGCAAAGGGGCAAAAGAATGAATGTAAGTCCCAATTTATATTCCGGAGAGGTCGCAGCCAATTAGACCCATCAGCTGTCCAATTACTTTGCCACGAAAGGAAGTAACTCAATATCTTGCTCACTCTTGAGTTTTTTTTTCTCTAAACTGTCAAGTCGATTAACATTGAATTCGTATAACAAGTTAAGCAGGTGGCACCAACATCCAAATCATGGTATTTTAGCCCTCCTAGCATTCAACAACAATCACAACTTGCATTTATATAGCATCCCAGAGTGCGGAGCACATGCCGAACCGGGGGGGGGGGAGGTGACCGTGGGCACGATCTGAAGATGAGGAAGGAAAGGGCAAGTTGGAGGGATAGAGGAAGAGTGTTCCACAGTTTCAAGGTCTCTTTGATTCATTATCAGCAAAGGGAGGGGAAGGGGTGGTCGAGTGTTGCAAGAGAAAGATTTCCATTACTCAACTCAAAACTTTTGCGAGGACGTGGAACATGCTGTAGTATACATTATCAATTGGAATGCTTTAAAGGGAGCCAAATAGATTATTGGGAAGTCAGGGGAACAAGGGATATGGAGTAAAGGTGAGGAAATGGGATCATAAAAATGCAATATTATCTAAACGTGTGTGGAATAGGGTTCACCTGCTAAATAGCAAAAAAACACAATAAAAGCAACATCAAAGAAAAGAAAGCAATGATGCAAACAAAAAATCTCAATTCTACCTCGAAGAAAGAAACTTTATCTGAGGTTTGGGCCAAGGTAAATTATCCCGCCCCGCAAAGACTATTGGAACATGGAAGATTTTGCCCAAAATTCATGCCAAGTGAAGATAATAGAATCGTACAGCACAGAATGAGGCCATTCGGCCCATCGTGCCTGCTCTTTGAAAGAGCTACCAACTAGTAGTCCCCTGCTCTTACCCCACAGCCCTGCCAATTATTCCTTTTTAAGAACGCATCCAATTCCCTTTGGAAAGCTATCACTGAATCTGCTTCCATCACCCTTTCAGGCAGTGAGTTCCAGACCGCAACAACTCTCTCGGTAAAAAAAATGTCTCCCCGTCTCGCCTCTGGTTCTTTTGCTAATTATCTGTGTCTGCTGGCTACCAACCCACCCGCTAGAGGAAATGGTTTCTCCCTATCATTTGAGAGGGGATACATCTTTGAAATAGAGATCGTGTAGAAGGGTATTTTATGAATGAGCAGGAAACATGACGGTGCTCTAGTGGAGTTTCTGACACCTGCAAAGCTTCAATGAGACAAATATCTTCTCTGAGCGCTGTAATTTCTACCATTCTATGACTTCTTAATTTTAACATTCTCCTCACTGACAAAAAAAAGGCCACATAAAGAAAATAAATTTAGAAGTGATTGTGACTCATCTAAGTGAGAGCACCTGGCATTATCTGCACTAACTCCCACACACTGAGGTCACTCCATCTATAACTGTCAACACCAAGAACATGAAATAGACTCCCTGCATTCGCGGCCCTAAGAGGAAAATGTCAAGTGCATCATTAGACCAGGAATCGGGCCACTTATTCTCATGAAAATATTCTGTTCCAGTGTCACAGTTAAGAGCTTTGTGGCCAACGATATCTATACAAACACAATGAGGTTTCTGAATACTAATGTGGATTCCTGTAGCTCAGTGTTTAGAACGCTCGCCTCGCAAGCGCGAGGACCTGGGTTTGATCCCTGGCAGGGCGAAACGTTGGATAAGTTTCCTTACTCCACATGCCTCTGTTTACCTCGCAGTAAGTGAGAACCTGGTTGTTAAGTCAATTGGCGAATGGCTTTTTGGGAGTAATAATCCATTCAAAAAATAATAATTTGGTCAATCCAAGACTGTTTGTGGGACGCTCCTGTGCGCAATTGGCTGCCGTGTTTCCCCCCCAAATATATACAGTCTATTCTCTTTACAGTATATTCTGTGAAGGGCTTTGAGACGTCTCAACGAGGTGATAAGATGCGACATCAAATGCAAGGATTATTTTTATTATTATTAACATAGGTAAGTAACGAGGCAGCTACATGCTTATTCATGCATTCTCTGCACTGCTATGTGGTTGACGCAGGAAACCAGACTGAATCTAGCTTCGGGAGTTGAACCGTTTAATTAGGGGTTAGAGTACAGCAGACTTCCCTCCCCCGTCCTTTGTCACTAACGTGTCAGATTAGAAGTAATTACTTTCACTGTGGCTCATGATGATTGACACAGCGACTGACAGAGCCGCTTTATCTGCAGCCAGAGCTCAAGCGGTTGGTGTTGAGCGATTGCACAGGATTAGGGAGCCCATCAATATCACCTGTGAACTACCAAGGACGATAAGCAGCTTCGCAAACTCTCTAAAAGTTACCATACAGAACTAACCCACTGGGTGACAAGACAGTGAAGAGCTGCACACAGCTCCAGACACAGCGCGCTGTGCTCAAAGCAAATCCAGCACCTTACACGAAGATGTTGCATTTGCTTTGAGCACAGCATAATAATAATAAATAATAATCCTTGCATTTGATATAGAGCCTTATCACACTGTTGAGACATCTCAAAGCGCTTCAGAGAATATATGGCATAAAGTATATTTTCTTTATCATTGAGGAAGGATGTATTCCAAGCAGCTAAAAGGACCCTCTTCATCATGAGAATGTGTCCGACTCCTAAGACTCAGCCCTTCCACCACTTGAGCACCACAATGTGCAGCGGCAGGGCTGCAAGTGCAGATTGCTCTTCAGCTTCAAGATACTTGACACTGATTATTTATGAGTTCAAGGAAACACACAAGCACCTAAATGTTGTTCTGCAGATTAATAGCGAGAGCGTACTTGTGGAGCCACTCGATGATCTTGTCCTTGGTCCGCAGGTGTGGGAGCGTGTATTTCTCTTCTGCGTTCTCAAAGTACTTTAGTGTGGGGAATCCAGTGATCTGATATTTCTCTCCCAAGTTCTTGTGAGTTGTGACGTCAACTGCAGCCAAAACTCCTGGGCTCTGGGACAAGAACAAACAGCAATAAAGGGAAGAGGAGGAAGGAGGGAGGAGAAAAGAGGTCAAATGTACAATCATAATATAATAATCCTTGCATTTGACATAGCGGCTTACAAGATTCACAGTTGGCAAAGCTGGGAAGAAAATGCCAGGCGGGCAAGAAAACGGCTGGCTGTTTGTCGTCTTGAGACTCAAGGTTTTTGCTCTGAGTTTCACGTACCAGAAGTTATGAATAACACAACAGATGCTGTTGGAGAATATTGTAAATGACGACTCCAAATACAATTCTTTGTTGATTGCACTTCATCGTTGCCAGACAGGCTCCCAAAATGAGTAGCAAGTATACAAACAAATGCACTGAATAGTAATAATCCTTGTATCAGATATAGCGCCTTATCACGTCGTCAAGACATCTCAAAGTGCTTCACAGAATAGATTGTAAAGTGAAAAGACTGTGTATTTTGACTTCTGGTATTGAGACACTGAAATACAGAGAATTAAGTGTGGTTATGTTGCTCTTCCTTTGTGGAGTCCTGTAGCTCAGTGGTTAGAGCACTCACTTTGCAAGTGAGAGACCTGAGTTCAATTCCCGGCAGAGGGCGAAACCTTGGGCAAGTTTCCTTACTCCACACAGAGCCTAATAATAATCCCTCCAAAACCAAAACAATAATAAATTGGTCATTTTCAATCCACGACTGTTTGTGGGACATTGCTGTGCGCAATTGGCTGCCGCGTTCGCCCACAAATATACAGTCAATTCACTTTACAGTGTGTTCTGTGAAGCGCTTTGGGACGTCCTCCCGACGTGAAAAGCGCTATATCAAATGCAAGGATTATCTTATTATCTTTTTAATCGAATTTGACAGCGTTGATGTTAAGCTTTAAAATCCAGAATAACACTGCTTCACAATCAATCTTCAAGCTATTTCCCCTGAAGGTCTTTAGAAATGCTTGATAGATTGCTGCTAAACGTAGAAGCTCATAAAACAACCACATTAGATTTTTAAGGTTTAAAGTAAAAAAAAAACTCCAGGCTCGATGATGAAGGATTGATCTTCAGAACTCTTGGGGGATTGTGCCCTCCGAAAAAGAACATTGCTTAGTAAAGTTGGCCTTTTAAGGAAACCATACTCGCGGCCTTTTATTTAAAGAGCAGAACGTTTCGGTTTAGTAACATAATGATATTTATCTTTTAAAAAAGGTTGCTTTGGGATTATTATATCAGGATAATGCGAGTGCTTTGAAACACAATTCCCTGGACGTTGTGCAAACACCAGTGATGAAATGAGTGGCCCGTTAAGTTCAATCTGGCCAGCGTTAACGGTAAGTGGGTGGAAACCTGTAAAGATTGGGGTTTCCTTACATTGTCGTCTGTGTTCAGCAACTCGGCAGCTTCTTCATAGTCTGGCTTCATCTTCTTACAGTGACCGCACCCTGCAATGGTAGAGGAATGCAAATAATAATAATACTGCTTGCATTTGATATAGAGCCTTATCATGTCGTTGAGGTGTCTCAACGCGCTTCACAGGATATACTGTAAAGTGGAATATCTCAAGTGGCGGGCATCCAAATCATTGGCTCTCTCCACTAATTTGTGGCTTGCACATCCAATTATTCAACCAGATTTTCACCAGCCTCCTGCTGCTGCTAACTTATTCCAAGATACCTCAGATAAATTGGACCAAATTTGATTAAGAAATTCCTGTGCTGTAAGATGTGATTTTTCGACAGTGGGAATTCACGTACACAGAGAGGGGACGAAAGAGCTGCATCACCTCACATTAGTTTTACCATCAGGTCGTCAACAAATCATGTCATCAGCTGATGAACAAACTCATTTATTGACCAGCTCTACTTGACGGAACATTAACTAATGGCAATTAGTGCCAGCACAACACGATCTATTGCTCAGTCTGGTTTCAGCCACAAGCACCAAACTGGACCAAAACACCTGAGGATTGAGCCGTCTTCCACAATGAGCACATACAAGGCACAGATGGTCCACTCCTCACTCACTGTTATTTCCACGGTTAATAACCTCTGACCTCTATGTCAATGACCAATGCCTTGAGCAGTGTAAGGTGAGAGCCCTCACAAATGCCCTCAAGCTAAGTTACCCAGCCTTTGACTTCGCCTCCAGAATGCAGACTTAATCTTCAAATCACTTTATACTTTGGCACCTCCCAACCTGCTGATTCCCCAACCCACTACCCGCTGCCTCGGCTTGACTGGCTCCTGTCCCCTGTGCCGCACTTTCAGCCACTAAGCCCAGAAACTCTGGAACACTCTTCCTCTATCCCCGATCTTAGCCCCTCCTTTCCCATCTTCAAATCGCGCCTCTTTGACCGTGTCTACGGTCACCTCCCCCGGCTCAGCATCGTGCTCTGCCACCGTTAAGCGCTCTGGGATGCTAACCTGCGTGAGGGGCGCTGTGTAAATCCAAGTTGTTATTGTTGCAGACCCGCTGCCATTTTTGCCTCAGTTTTATAAAAAAATACTCCTGAAAGTCGTCGAAAATATGTATTCAGTTTTAAGAAAAATACATTATGCATAATGTAACTTGAATAAGTTATTCAAGAATAAGTTATTCAAGTCACACTACCTTCTACACATCAACAATGAAACAACCTGTCAGTGAGTGATTTAAGATCCATCAAACATCTATGGATTTCCCCAGCTACCCTGATTTCTGTAGATTGCCAATTTGGCAGGTATAGAATGTTGAGCCATGGAGCGCAGGGGCCCCCCACAGAAATGCACCTCTCCTAGATTCCTCCAACCCCTTCCTTTCGCTCTCCCGTTGACAATCCTGACCTTATGGCTCCTTCTTACCGATTCACTCGAAGCCTTTCAAAAATGTTGAAGACCTCTATTCAATGTCTCCCAAGTCCCCGTTTTTAACCTTCTCTATTTCAGTGAAAACAGTGAATGTTATTTCAAGCCCCTATTCAGACCGGGGTTGCATTCTACCCGGAGGTGGTTCCAAGGAGCGAAGCTAGGTATTGATGCACTGAAACCAGATCAAACCAATGTCAGACTCTGCCACTGTGAAGCACTCTGGGGCGTTATCCAGCGTGAAGGGCGCTACATAAATGCAAGTTGTTGTTGTTATCTGCACTGTACTTGATGGATGCTGAAAATGAGACGTCCCAGCAGTTAGAGACAGGAATCGTTATCCCACTCTTTCATGGCAACAACAACAATAATAATTCTTGCATTTGATACAGCATCTTATCATGTCTTCGAGACGTATCAAAGCGCTTCACGGGATGTGCTGTAAAGTGAATTGACTGTATATTGACTGGGCGAAACAAGACCCAAAGGTGTAAGGTGTTAAAATTGCATTGAACAACAGGTTTCCCGATTTCCCTTCCAGTTTTAAAAGATCCAAAGCAATCGGCAATTATCGAAATATCCCCATTCTTTGCAGAGCAGCTTCTGAGGAGTCATGCCGGAGGCAGTAGGCGCATAAGTGTCTATCGGTATGAAACATGGTTATAATCGACCAAAAGGACTCTTGTAATTCACTGTGAAAGGATGCGAGCGTCAAAGTGAATTCGCAATTAATAAATCACCAAGCCGCTAAGTGCTGAGTTTCAATAATACCTTCATGGAATACATTTATCCAACAACAACAACTTACAGTTACACAGCACCTTTCACGTCGGGAGAATGTCTCAAGGTGCTGGACGATAATAATAATAATAATCCTTGCATTTGATATAGCGCTTTTCACGTCGGGAGGACGTCCCAAAGTGCTTCACAGAACACACTGTAAAGTGAATTGACTGTATATTTGTGGGCGAACGCGGCAGCCAATTGCGCACAACAATGTCCCACAAAGTGTCGTAGATTGAAAATGACCAATTTTTTTTATTATTGTTTTTGGTTTTGGAGGGAATATTATTAGGCTCTGTGTGGAGTAAGGAAATTTGCCCAAGGTTTCGCCCTCAGGGATTTGGACCTGAGCTGGGGGTTGGGATCAGGGAGGACAGAGAGGGTGGGGGGTGACTTAAGGCGCGGTTGGAGAGGAGAATCTTGAGACATGTTTTGAAGGAGGCAAGTTCCAAAGGGTGGTGGCAGAGCGGGTGAAGGCCCCACCGCTGAATGGTACAGCCGTCTTTTGGGCTTGGAATGGAACTTACACGGTGCGTAAAACATGGCCAGGACTGACGGGTGCTCGGTTACAAACGAGTCAAAGCTGTCGTCGGTCAGGTGGAAGACTGCGGAGTCTTGTTCCGCCCAGGGAGCCTCCAGGGCCTTTGGCTGTGGGGCTTGAGGACTTGTAAAGAGAGAAGTAAAAATACAATTTACACGTAGGATAGAAAACGAGAAACAATATATAATATTTATAAGTTATAATAATAATTCTTGCATTTGATATAGACCCTTACCACGCCTTTGAGACATCTCAATGTGCTTCACACGTTATATGGTAAAGTGATTTTTAATAACAATACTATTTTATTCGCAATATTAACAAGCCTCGAAAGTTTGAGGAATCGTCTTTAAAAAGCAGTTTACAAAAGAAAGCAACTCCCCAAGGAACTAAGGCTAGGTTTCATGCGTCCAACACAAAAAAATTGAGAAAACTGGTTATAAAAAGCGAAGTTACTCAAGTGAAGGATTTAATAATAATGCTTGTATTTAATATTGTGCCTTATCATGTCGCTGAGACGTCTCAAAGCACTTCACAGGATATATTGTAAAGTGGATTGACTATATTTTATGGGCGATTCAGCAGTGTCCCACACACAGTTGTGGATTGAGTGACCAAAGGTAGCCCCTTCTACATATCATTCAACCACTCTCAATACTCGATCCTAATACTGGATTCTCTGTGTGGCATTACAAAATAATTCCGAGATGATCTATAGTTCTGGCAGTAACTTACTGGCAAAGATTTGATTAGGTCGAGAGAAGGGACACTTGTTATAATGAGAGTAAAGTAGTTAAACACAATGAGCTATTAAAACGTGCCTGAGATAATTAGGCTGACGGGCGGCTTACAAGGATTCATAGTGTCAGCGCTCTGAAGTATTTATGTTTCGACTGCACTTAAATAGCCTTCAAGCACCAAAATGAAATTGTCCTTTGTACCCAAGCCAGAAACATAGGAAGATGAAGCGCATGTAATTTGCTTCAGAGTCACAGCATTCAATCTTACTCACTTTTTCATCCACTCAACAAAATCTTGGGCTGTCGCGCCGTAGTTTTCAAAATTAAATAGAAACTTTCCTTTGCTGTGAAACAGAACAGGAGAAAGAGAGGGGGGGGGGTAGGGAGGGATGGAGGAAAAAGGTTCATTAGCAAGGTAATCCATCAAAACGTCTAACATTACAAAGCACCTAACAGTGTATCTTATGAAGGCTGAAATACAACAACAACTTGCATTTGTATAGCGTCCTTCACATGGGGTAGCATCCAGGAACGCGCGACAGTGGCGGAGTCTGACTCTGAGCCAGGGGGGAGAGGGAGTGGGGAGGTGATCGTAAGCACGATCAAAAAGAGTCACGGGCAAACCAGATCCTGCTCTCAACCCAGTCCAGCAAAGAACAAAAAGCATCAAATATAATGGGGGATTTCATAAAGGTGTTCAAAATTATGAGGGTCTTTGACAGAGTAAATATGGAGAAACTGCTTCCTCTGGCGGGTGGATCGGTAACCAGAGGACACAGATTTAGGATAGTTGGCAAAAGAAGCAGAGGAGAGACAAGTAGACATTCGTTAACCCAGCGTGTTATATGGTCGAATGCAAGGCTTGAAAGGGCGGTGGAAGCAGATTTGATAATAGCATTCTAAAGAGAATTGGATAGGTAATTACAAAGAAGAAATTTGCAATTGTGGTGGGGTGGTGGAACTAATTGGGTAGCTCTTTCAAAGACCCAGCACAGGCACGGTGGGCCGAATGGCCTCCTTCTGTGCTGTAAGATTCTTTGATTCCATAATAGATTTTCTTACATTTTATAGATCAGAGGGTTGAGGCACATTGCCCTTAAAAAAAACACACAGGTATCTGATAATGATTCAAAAAGGAAACAGCATCTACACCTTGAACTCCAGGGGACTGTCAGAGAACCAAAGAACTTTTTAAAGAAAGCATTTAAAGAACGCATTACATCTGCGAGTGGTCGGGATGAAATAGTCTTGGGAAGTAATTTTGAATTAAAATGCCTGGATTTCAAAGACAACACACTGTCACAAGCACTTTGTGAATTAATCTAAATATCTTCTTGTCTTAATGAGACTAACAACGGCAATGAAACTGGGCGAAATTTCATTTCAAATTCATCAGCGCTCCCTCTCCCCCAGCAGGGCTGTTGCGTTGCAAAACACAACTCCTTTTTTTTAGGCAATGAAAACAATCTCTTGCATTCTGACAGGTAATTCTTCTCTGAGCTCTAGCCGAAAAGTGGTCTCCCTCTATCGGTGCCTCTCAATGGATCGATCGATAAACTCTCCTATGAATTTTCCTCCAGCTCTTCCCAAACTCCAAGTATAATGCTACACGGCTCCTTATTTTTTTTTGGCCTTCTCCTGGTCGAAAGTATAATAATAATAATAATCCTTGCATTTGATATAGCGCTTTTCACGTCGGGAGGACGTCCCAAAGCGCTTCACAGAACACACTGTAAAGTGAATTGACTGTATATTTGTGGGCGAACGCGGCAGCCAATTGCGCACAGCAATGTCCCACAAACAGCCGTAGATTGAAAATGACCAATTTGTTATTGTTTTTGGTTTTGGAGGGATTATTATTAGGCTCTGTGTGGAGTAAGGAAACTTGCCCAAGGTTTCGCCCTCTGCCTGGAATTGAACTCAGGTCTCTCGCTTGCAAAGCGAGTGCTCTAACCACTGAGCTACAGGACTCCACTCCATTCTTATAATAATAAACCTTGCATTTGACATAGCGCCTTATCATGTCTTGAGATGTCTCAAAGCGCTTCACGGATTATACTGTAAAGTGAATTGACTGTATATTTTGTGAGCGAAACGCGGCAGCCAATTGCTCACAGCGGCGTCCCATAATGAGTCATGGATTGAGTGACCAAATTATATTTATTATTATCTTTCTTGAAGGGAAAAGCGATCCCCCAATCAACTAACAACCAATTTACTGCTCGTTAAACAGAGAAGTGTGGAGTAAGGAAACTTGCCTACGGTTTCGCTCCGCCCAGGAATCAAACCCGTGTCCTCTTGCTTGGGAGGCGAGTGCTCTAACCAGTACCAGACTCCATTCTTTCCCTGAATCCTCAAGACAAAGCTCTTCGTGTGCCTCAGTCGCCACTAAACCGATGCTTGACGTTACCTAATCACTTCAGTCTAGCCTGTCTTGTCAAGCTCGAAGATGTCTGAATTATGGGTCTCGCCCTTCAACTTTCACCTTTCAAGTTGCAATAAACCAAACGTTATAACAGAATTTTCCACGTAGGAGCCACTAAATAAGAATGGAGGGCATCAACTTATTTTTTTACCCTATTCCTATCTCACCCGGGTTCCGAACATACCTTGATTCTCACATTCTCAAACTCTGCCCTGGCTGAGATTAATGTGCATTAGACCAGTTAATCACATCTGGGCTGAGATTAGCCCATTTTTATTAGGTCAGGGTATCAAGGGATATGGGGCTAAGGCAGGTGATTGGAATTGAGGTACAGACCGGCCATGATCTAATAGAATGGTGGAACAGGCTCCAGGGGCTGAATGGCCTCCTCTGTTCCTATGGTCCAATGTAACTAACCCTCAGGACAGACCACGGACCCGGTCTGGATCGATCATTCAGTTTCACGCTTAGCTGTCTACTGCCCTACTAAATGGGAAATGTTGGCACAGAAAACAAAAGCATTGGAACTACAATGGACCAGGATAGATGAGGCTGAGAATTACATAGATGCATCAAAGGCAACTTACTCAAAGTAGCAGAAGGTTGGGTATCCTTTCACATTAAATTCCTGTTTAATTCCATCAAACTCGGCTGGATGAACGTTCATTCCAGCCAGTACCTTTTGAAAAATCACAGTTCAACACGTAAGGTCTAACAGGTAGCTGACATAGACAAATTACTTATAGCACGCTTCACTTACTGTAGTTTATTATAAAATATGTTCATACCAAACGATACGTTAGAAATTTAGATTACAATAATACTCGTATATGATGTTGTGCCTTATCACGGCGTTGAGACGTCTCAAAGCGCTTCACAGAATATACTGTAAAGTGGATTGATTGTGTATTTTGTGGGCGATTCAATGAAATCTACACAGACTCACAGCTTAATGTGGACATCAACTCTATCCAAACATGGGCCTTTCTCAGGTCCAGTAAACAACCTATTCATTGAACAGATTTTCTTACGTTTTACAGATCAGAGGCCTGAAATTCCAACTAGTCTTAGCTTCAACACCATTGTCTTAAAAATTGGAAATTTGGATAGTCTCAGTTTGGAACTGGATCACGGACCGAATCTGATGATAGTCCTGAACTTTTCACACTAAATGTTTAGTGCCAAAGTGAGCGTAACTTGGGCCTCAGAAGTTCAAATGACGCACTAACATTAAAATAAAACATTGTTAAAAGTTACAGTCATCAGGCACTTGTTGGCTCAGGCGGCAGATGTGTGATGACATCTTGGCTCCAATTCCTAAGACTCGCCCTTTGCTCAAGAAGGGATGGTTTGGGCCAGTCTTGGTAAATGATGAACTTTTGACTCAGGGAAAATGGCTAATGAGAGCGGATCCATCTCGCAAAAAGACTTGAGCGGTTGGCCAAAGCTGTATTCAACAAAGACTTGGATGGAAAATGGAAGAGCAACAATCAACAAACAGGTTCTGGAGTTGACTGAGAAGCAGATGAGATGAGAGGAATGGATTCCAACTAGGGAGAAAAAAGACTGAGTGAGAAGCCAAAGCTGAGATGGTTGGGTTACACTGTATTCAAGAAAGACCTAAATGGAAAAGCAACAATGGGCAGTGAGCTGGAAAAGGGGAAACTACAATGGACAGGTCTGGTGGTGTCCCTAGCAAGCCTAGGTATGACAACGGATAGAAAGTCAGTGCCAACAGTTATTGGTTTGTCAACTGTACAGCTACAACGATAGAACACGTCATCACAAAGAGGGCAGGTGGGGCTCTCACCGTCTCAAGCCCATCAAGTGCTTGCCAACTTCTGGACTATTATGACCCCGACCGATATAAAACAGGAACCCACCCAGACACGTTTCATTTCTCTCTTGTTCTTCCCGACAAATTACTATCTCCATTTCTTTGTGAATGAATTGAACCGAACTTGCATTCACTGCACTGGATAGTTGACAACTCAAACTCTGAAGTGCTGTAGTTACTGATTAAGTTATGTTTACTGCCAGGTTTCCTAATCCTACAGTCACCTACGTCGATTCTCCCGAAAAAGTACCTCCGTATCTACTCACCAATCACATTCAACAGACATTGCCGAGCCTCAGAGTTGTGCAAAGGCCACAATTGAGCATATTGATCCATGGACTGAATGAGGTGTGATGGACTGAATGGCCTATTATTCCACACTCTCGCACCAAATTCCCAGGATTGTCCCTGTGTTTCTCCAGTTCTCCCTCCCTTCATCTTCCTCCACTTTTTTTCCCTGAGTTGGAGCTGGGCTTGGGACAAAATACTTGGCTCAGCTCACGTGTGAAAAACAATGTTTTTTGTGTCCCCAACACAGACTGACCGCGATGGAAAATGATCCACGCAAGCGCACAAACGTACCTGAATTATGCGCTGTGTGGAGCGTTTTGGGTAGCGGTCGTAGGTGGGATGACAGCTCTGGATGGGTCATCCTGCAATAAGGTTTTCAAAGTTAGGATTGTCCGCTACAAGATTTCAACTTATTTTTCCTCCCAGTCTCCCTGGGGGGGGGGTTGGGGGTATTGGGTGTGTATGTGTGCGTGAGGGCAGGCAGCCAATCTGTATCAGACCTCTGCCAATGCCATTTCCAGCTGACCACTCGAAGGTCACAAGGATCACCTTGGGGAGGGGTGGGGGGAGGAAAAACCTTGTCCTTTACTAATAAGAGTAATCCTTGCATTTGATACAGTGCCTTATCACGTCTTTGAGGTGTCTCAAAGCTCTTCACTGAATATACTGTAAAGTGAGCCGTCTGTGCATTTTGCGGGTGAAACGTGGCAGCCAAGTGCGCACAGCAGCGTCCCACAAACAGTCGTGGATTGTTACTATTGCTGTACCACACATTGAACTTCCCTCCGTCCACTAAGCTGCCCAGTTGCACAAACTCTCTCTCAATCTGAATATATCCTTTTCTTCCCTTTCAGTCTCCTGTACTTAAAAGAAAATGTGTTTGGATCCCTTGGCTTCCCATCACAGCTCACAGGAACTCAGTTACATTGATGCTCTATTCTTTTTACAACGCTTCCTGATGTCTTGGAAAGGCACTGAGAAGCAATAATCTATCTGTCTTCCCATCCGAAGCTGTGTGCATTGTAGTGAGTGGCGTGGTGGATAGTCTGAAAGACGTCAGAGGTTGGCAAGGCTTTCTGCTCAGCCTAGAGAAGAAGAATATTGGGAGGAAGGTCCTTCAGATGCCCTCCAACAGCTGATCCAAGAATGAAATTGGCAGAGACCAAGGAAGGGGTCACCTTATAACAGCCAGGGAGGGGGAGTAGCAGGGAAGGAGGAGAGAAAGAGTGAGAAGGGCTTTGTGGAAGAATTATGTATGATGACGCAGTCGATCAGAGCGGGCCATAACATTTAAAGGAACACTCCAGGCTGTACGTTCAACGTTTAACAAATAGGAGTTGCCATTGAACCCGATGAAGATTCCCCAAAGGTTTCATTTAATTTGCAAGGCGCATTGTATCGCGTTGGGCTTATTTCAGGTGCTCCATTCAAGCTGACTGATTTGGATTAACCCTTTAGAATGTTACAACCTTGCAATCACCCTGTTAAGTGGAGGATGAGCAGGAAGTTAGTCAGAAAGCCAAGCTGACACAAATTACTCATTCGCACCCACGATTACAAAGCAGTAGGACAGGATTTGAGGACAGGCCACAACGAATCCTCAGTCACCATTACAAAACCAATTCCCATAGAGGAGCAAATCTGGTAAAACAACCAGCAAGCACTTTGGATTCGTTGCCAAGTAGATAATATATATGTATATATATAATCTCTATCTTGAAGAATCAAAAATGAACTGTTCTTCCGAAATGGACAATAGGGCTTTTTATGCTCGGCTTGAGGTTGAAGACCAATTCAAACCAACGAGTTCAAAGTCTTCTCGAATATCCATTGGATCTTCTGATGAACATCAAAGCAGTTGACCAACTTTAATCAACAGGTATAAAACAATCCACATGGGAAGGAAGAGGGAGAAGACATTTGATGCACAACCATTCATCGTAAAAGGCAGTGAGACATACTCCCTCTTCTGAGGTTAAAGAATGGGGATAGAAGTGGTGCAGAACATTTCCTAATCCATCTGACTTGGGTTACGCCTGGTTTAAGAGATCTATTGATTTATCCACACACGTGCATCAAAATGAGACACCATTAGATCATGAAACGCATCTCATTTTGCCTCCTTCACTCCTCCTTTTCAGACTTTTGCCAAGGTTTAGATTCAAAAGCATAGCTGCCCTCAATTCCATTGGCTCAAATGCCCATTCACAAGTGAGCCAGGACATTAAAAGTGAGCAGGCAAGTGTTATTTCTTTTTTGTGGGGATGGGGATGGGAAGTGTAATGTAGAATCACATTCTAGCCTGATAATATCCTCACCAGATGGGCACAATATGAACATACCAGCAGAGTTGCTGGATATCAATAAGGACCAATAATGGATCGTTGCTCTGGAGAGTATAGGCATTGCTGAATAGGGAAGAGGGGAAGTTTGCCATCCAGTGTTGCCTTCCACCATCCTGATAGTCACTTCGACATGTTATGCCTTGTTACCCTCACATTCATGAGGACAGCACTGCAGACAGTTACCGTTGAATAAGCCATTGGTGTCAGCATGTCCAGCATGCTCCCGGACAAAGAATGATCAGTTGGGATAGATGCTCAAGATCTAATACTGTCCAATGAACAGCATTCTAGTCAACATCTTCAAAACAGGCAGGACAAGAGACGAAGAGGACAGTACAAACAAGCTGATCACACACATTTCCAGCTCTGAACGTGTAATAGCAGAGACCTGGGGGCAAGTATTGCTTTTCCAATAAAAGCATTTCACGGAATTCTCCCCCTAAAAAAAAAAATCACAAACCTAAAGCAGTTGAAAAGCTTATCAAAGGTTTCATTTCAAAAACATTTCCTTAAACCTGAAAAATGATTTGCGTTATCTGTTTGGGAGTCACTGGTTGAAATAGCTGAATAGATTATTAAATGGGAGAAAAATGCAGGAACATTAATGACTGGCCAGATTTATCTGCAGAGAAAAAAGTTAATCCTTCTATTTGATATAGTTCCTATAGATTTTCAACATCTGAAAGCATTTCCCAGGCAATTGCTGCCAAGTTTAGCCAATACGTTTCCGTAGGAAAATGTGGCAGCCACGTTGTGCACAGCAATCACCGACAAACCTTGAAATGAATGACTGGTTCATCTAGACGATTGTTAGCCAGGACATTGCTAGTTTCCAATAAAGTCAAAAGATTTTTATGTCCACATGAACAGGAGGGTGGGACTTTGGTTTAATGATAATCTTTGCATTTTGACATAGCTCCTTATCACGTCTTCGAGACGTCTCAAAGCGCTTCACGGAATATATTGTAAAGTGAATATACTTTATGGACGAAAAATGGCAGCAGTGTCCCACAAACAGCCGTGGATTGAGTGACCAAATTTTTTTTTTTGAGGTATTATTACCCCTGGAAAAGCGATCCGCCAATAGACAAACAACCGGGTTCCTACTTACTGCTAGGTAAACAGAGCCGTGTGGAGTAAGGAAACTTGCCCAACGTTTCGCCCTGCCTGGGAATCGCACCCAGGTCTCTCGCTTGCAAGGCAAGTGCTCTAATCACTAAGCTACAGGACTCCAGGTCTCACCTGAAGGACAGCATCTCTGAAAATGTAGTATTGCCTTAGAGAGTCAACCTGAAGTGTGAGCTCAAGTGTTGATGTAGGATTTGAACCCACAACCTTCCAACCCAGAGTTGCTACCAACTTAGCCAAAGCTGACCCATCACTTAAAGAGGAAACTTTAAATAAATGGTATTGGTTTTGGGCAGACTGACCATTAGTCCTGAGAATTTAATACTTACATATGAACCCTTTAAATCTGTGGCAGCCTGTTGAAAGGCTGGCTTCATCCGCTTACACACCCCACACCCTGACACCCAAGGCAAGGATCGAGTCAAAGGCGACAGCAGCAGGGAAACAAAAAACAAAGACAAGACATTGTGCTAAATGATTTAAAGCCTTAACACACAAAACAATTCTGCCACAGATCATTGTGCGACTGACATTACAATCAGCAGGACAAATTTAGCACTCATCCCTAATTCAAGTTCATTAGATGGAAGAAGGCGTGATAGGACTGACAGTAATCAACGGTTTGTTCCAAACTCATATGTCGGTGAATCTGCAACTTCTTATCAACGGCTGTGATTTCATTTCCATTTCAGATCAGCTTGATGTTCTCCAAACTCCATTTACCCTCTCCTAGATCGCACAGTATTTATATTCTTTCAACGTTTACGTTCTTTTCTTGCAAAGGTTTAGTGGAAATCTGAAAATCTCTCCCTCCCTCAAAAGGCTAAGGATTATGGCTGGATCCATTCACATTTTCAAGACTGAGGTGGAGCGATTATTATTAGGTTTGGGTATCAAGGGATACTGGGCAAAGACAGGTCATTGGAGTTGAGGTACAGTTGAGCCATTATCCAGTAGAACAGGCTTGAGAGGCTGAATGGCCTACTCCTGTTCCTATTTTGCTATATAAGGTTTTGGGAAACGCACACTATCATTCACAAATTTACAGGATTCCAGGCAGCACCTTTATAGTGAGTTTGCAAACATAACTAACCTGTGCCCCAATGCTAGTGAACTTGTTGTTCTGGGCTTACATAGAAATATGTGATTGTTTGTGTGTGCTGGACCCCATCATTGTCTTTTGTATTGGGTGAAAAGAAACTTTAGAACTCACTACCACTCACGATCTATTCCACTCACCCAATGACTGCAGCTGTGAATACGCATGAGAGCTGGGGACAGTTCTGAGCTAGGTGAGGGGGAGAAGGCAAAATCAGCCAGGGTCTCCCGCATCTCTTCTCTCTCCACCCCCACGCCTCCCCACACAGTCTAAAAGCCTGCAGACATTTGCACATTGAAACGCATGCCCCGAAGGGAAGGAAAAGGAAGAATTTGATGAGTCAGAACGGACTCGGGACATCATGTCTTGAGGTGTGGGAGCAGGTCAACCACCTGTGCTTTTCATTCCGCCTTGTGAGCAGGATCTGCATGGTACAGGATAGAATAAAGCAGGATGGCCCAACTAGTGGCCCACGGGCCGCACCCGGTCCCTCTCCCTCCATTTCATCTGGCCCACCCGCTCCCTCCATAACCCGTAAATGTTATGTTCCTGGAAGGGAAACACAAAAATATTGCGGACATATTCTCAAATAGGGCATCCGGTCCTCGGCGGCCAAAAGGTTGGACACCCCTGGAATAAAGGGTTACACATGAAGCAGGATTTTCAGCGGGGTCACCCACAGCACAACTTACATGGTGCATAGAACATCACGAGAATAGTCCTCTCTTCCTTCTTCAGCAGTTTTCTGAACTCCTACAAAAACAAGGAACATAATGACCAATTACTGTCCTCACTTTCGGCAAAATACCAGGACAATGAAAGCGGAAGAATCACATGAATCTTTTCTTTACAACTTTGTTTTTTTTTTGGTCAGCTGGATGTCTGACCCATCACCTTGCTTACGAATGTCCAAACCAAGCTGAGAATTCCATGCATCCTACCTACATGGAAATCCTAGAGATAGATTGTTGGAATGGTATGCGCTCTCTCTTCCTGGAAGAACGTAACCTGCGCCTAATACTTTTCCAGAGAGTATCAGGCGCAGGTTGGCAAGAGCGAAGGCTTGGGGGAGCCCAGAGTGTGCGTTGGTGTAAATGCTGGAGCCTAACCAGCTAAAACCGCATAGCTTGCCATTGATATTGCTGTCTGGCCAGCTTTCCCGCTGCCAGTCCAGCTAGGACCATCTTACCCGTTAGGGCTTTGGCTTGCAGGGTTAACAGGAGCTGAGTGGGAGCATTCCCTGCCCCCAGACACTTTGGACTGAGTACCTTTACAGATAAAGGTTATTGTGACAGTTAAATGGTTTTTCACGCTGTTGACACATTTCTGAATGACGGGTAGGTTCAAGTAAACTAGATTGGTTTGACCTTATATCTAGCCAAACCTATGTATAGAATTGCTGTATGAGTCTTGAATGTATCTCTACGTTTCAACAGGATGCTGAGGTACAGGTACACCCATATCCCAGCCAAGTCAATATATATATATATACAGTATATAGATATAAACCTCAGGCAAGTTTCCTTACTCCACACGCCTCTGTTTACCTAGCAGTCAGTAAGAACCCGGTTATTAGTCGATTGGCGGATCACTTTCCGGGGGTAATAACCCCTTGAAAAAAAAATTCACGACTGTTTCTGGGACGCTGCTGTGCGCAGTTGGCTGCCATGTTTCGCCCACCAAATACGCAGTCAATCCATTTTACAATATGTTCCGTGCAGCGCATGGAGATGTCTTAACGGCGCGATGAGGCGCTGGATCATATACAAGGATTATCATCATTATTAATGTTTTCAGGAAGAGTGACAAACCTTCTCACTGTCGATGTGAGCCACGTCCCTGGCCTCAGGATTCTCTTCCCACAATGGAGCACCTTCTGGGTCCCTCATAAACGCCACCACTGACTGCAGGCAATCAGAACAGCAGAGAGCTCATGAATTCCAAACTCTGGCGTACAATTACCCCATCCCACTCTTCAGTACTCAATTGTCTGTGTTTGCGTCGGAGGATTAAAGAAAACGACAGCATTTGCATGTACAATTTCAGATTTTAACAGTGTTGTTCCGTCGTGACCCCAGTGAAGTTTCTCAAAGACTGGGTGGACAGGGAAGGAGATTACAATATCAATTGTAACAGAACAAACAGTAGATGAGGTTGGTTATTTCTCTGCGAGGAGGGGAATTTCCTTTGTCTTGTACAATTCATTGTTGTTCTTGTACGGCAGCCACAAGTGAAGGGATGGACCTTATTTATCGTACTTAAGAGAGCAGAGGCACAAGGGCAAAAGCAGATACTGACCTTGTGTGTTTCGGGTCTGTTATATTCAGTGTGGAAGGCACCATCCCTACAGAGATAGTAACAATCAGATTACAGCACCATCAGAGCAGCATGAAACCAATACAACAATTACATTTACACAGCGCCTTTCACTTTGGGAGGACCTCCCAAGGCACTGGACAGTCAAGGATTTGGGCTTGAGCTGTGGGTTAGGATCAAGTTAGGTGTTAGGATTAGGGTTAGGTGTGGAGGGCAGGGAGAGAAAGGTAGGAGGATGACTGAAGGCGAGGTCAAAGAAGAGGGTCACAGGGTTTTGTTCTCATTGCAGATAGAGTAAATGGAGAAAATTCTGAAGATAAAAAGTCGCAAATTTTACGACGGATCACTTGGGAATTCCAGAAACGAAAGTCAGCCTTAACACCTGATCACAAGCAATAAGGGTAAGTGAAATCCGCAGAGATTTTTTGGTTAAGCAGCTTGGTGTGGGGTGGTGGCGTGGGGGTGGGGGGAGACCCCTTTAGATAACTCATACACCAAAGTGCATTCACTCATCGATCAAGCTGACACTCAGAAACCTGACAACACGAAGGAGCGTGTGGGAATAGAAGAAAACACACAGCGTTCTCATTAATCAGACCGCCAGGCTGACGGGCCATCATTTTCACATGCGTGCTTGCTCACTGCAGAGGTAGCATTCCCTGATTGCCTTTCAGCACAAAAATCTGACATTGTCCCCGTCACATTTCTGCCAAGGGCACGGAGATTCAGCTCGCTGACATGCACATACGCAGCATGCCCACTTAAGGATAGTGACAGCGAGGGTCTCTTATGTAAAAGTTTCCCATGGGGAAGGAGGGAGGATGGAGAGCAGGGAAATAATGAAAGGAAAATGACAGTTTGTGTGTGCTGTAACGTACCGCACTCTTAGGAACAGGGAGGCTATTGACCCTATCAAGCCCCCTCCATCAGTTTATAAGAGCACAGCAGATCTTTTAATCTAGTTTAGCGCACAAAAGTCACTGCACTGCATGGTACATCCTGCGATGGGAGGTTAAATAAAATGACAATAGGCAATTAGGTGGTTAGAATGTGGAAATATCTGGCCACAAATCATTGTTGAAGCAGATTATAAATTCTTTCAAAAGGGAAATAGATGACACTTGATAAAAAACAATATTAAAGAGTGTGGGGAACAAGTAGGAGAGTAGGTCTAGACGAGGTAGAGAGAGAGAGAACACCAGGGCTGACTTGATGAACTGAATGCCTTGTTGTTGAGCTACAATTATCTAAGGCAAGCCAGGAATGGATTATAAATCTCCATAATAATAATAATGCAGACATTTGATATAGTGCCTTATCTCACCATTGAGACATCTCAAAGCGCTTCACAGAGGATATAATACAAAGTGGATTGACCGTATATTTTGTGGGTGAAACTCAGATGCTAGATATTGATTTTCTGAAAAATGAGACAACAACTTGCATTTATATAGCGCCCTTCTCGAGGGGTAGCATCCCGGAGCGCTTGACAGTGGCGGAATCTGACACCGAGACCTCAGTGAGGGAGCTTTGTTTGTGCTTACTTGTAATGCAGTAATTCAACCCCGTTTCTCTTGGAGTGAGGGTCCACCTTGATCTTCTTGCATAACTTCCTGCTCTCGCCATCCCTGTGGGAAGAGTGGAGTGTGTGACATGACTGTAAATGAAACACCCATTTCCTTTATTCAAAGCTCTGCAAAGGCAAAGGACCCTTCAGATTCCTCCTTCGTGGGGGGATTCATCCGGTTAAGGGATGAGATTCAATGAACAAAGACCCCCTTGGTCTGGCAAGGCCCCTCTCTTACACCCCCCCCACTCCCGCCTCCAGCCTCCCCTCTCTTCACCAGAAGCTCAATTTGCATAACAAGTTTTGAACTTAACATAAATGAAGTTTGCCATTAGGTAGCACTAAAAAGTCTACTTGCTGAACTCCTTGCAATGGTTTCTCTGACTATTAATAGCCATTGCAAGGCAATTTTACCACCTTATGCTGGTTACTTTGAAGGCGATAATTTAATCAGGGCAACTCTGGAATCAATAGCAAATCGAATCCAATTCAGGCACCATACACACNTTTTTTTAAACAAAGGAGTAAAGAATATTACAAGAATAAACATGACCTTTACTTTCCTAGCAACTGATAGTTATAAAAACTTTATAACGAATTGAGTTTCTTGAAAATGTTACATGTCAATGAATACCTAGCTCGCTGGCTAACATATTGTGTGAACAGTATTGGCATAGACACATCTGCTAAACAAATGAAAAGCTAATTTACATAGCAAATTAAATACTGTATCCTGCTGTGCTGAGTGAAGAAAGAACAGATTATCCTCCATATAATTCTCCAAGGGCGACTGTGGAATACTATTTTTATTTCACTCATGGGTAAAGTTGAGAGCGAGTTATGAAGGTCTTCCACACGAGTGGAATAAAAATCTTGATCGCTTAACAAGAGTAAAACATAATTGCAAAATACTAGTGAAGAAATGAGTAGGATTATGCTCATAATTAGAATGCACACCACCGTCTCCATTGGATGTGTTACAAGAACTCTTATCTGATCATGAAACAAAATCCTTTAAGTCCTATACATCATTCATGAATTGTGCTGGGCCCTAATGACCTTAATAAAACTGAACCAGTGCAACAGTGAATCACAATAACCTTTACTTATGACATCCCAAGTATGTGTCACGCCACTGTGGGAGTAACTTGCATATTAATGGCGCAGCAGTGTTCCCAAACACAACGTCTCTCCCGTACTGACGAGCGTAAAAGCAACTTAGACATTCCTTTGCTATCCTCGACAATGCAAGGATCCACAAGCAGCGGGTCACGCCAGTCCCCAACAAGTACAAACCAGTCTCTCTACTGCCAACTGCACCAAAGCTCCGTGAAAGAGGAACTTTTTATCTCTTTGAGAAAGCTTGGGGAAGGGCCAAGTCCCATAGTAAGACACTGAGGATGAAAGCAGTGGGAGAGGAAACCCACGCTTGGGTTTCAAACACCTAGAGACTGGCAGAGAAAGGGAGCAAGGGGCAGAGAGTTGCATCATTCTGAGGTCCGGGGAAAGAACGAGTGAGTTAGTGATGGAGATTATCTGAAGAGGGCACACGGAATCCATTGCACTGTTTATGTCACCGCTTGGTTTCAAGGAAATTCTTCAGTGTAAGATATGTTGACAGAAATTGGACAGAAGTAACTCAGAATGAGACACTGTTACGGATAGGAGATCAATAACTACAACATAGCCTTATCAGACTTGATTGAATCACGTCAAAGGCATATAGATATCGGCACAGATTTCTGCACAGCTGCCATCGACGATGCCATTCAATCAACAGAAGAGGCCTCACTGACACTGTGAGCAGTGGCACTCCATACCTGGTTCAAGGCAAAACTAGGCTGTTCTCATTCTCATTCGAAACGGCACGTAGAGAATGGAATTGGCAGAGCCCAGGTGGCATGTTACCTGCCACACCTTCTCATACGCTTCTTGTGTAGTTTGAGGGGATGATATAGAGAGGGGTGGAAACTTTAAACAAGAGTGCGCAGAGGACAACAGAGAAACTTGCGAAGGAAAGAGTTGAGACTTAGCAAGTTACTGTTTTTGTTCGAGACAAAAGTGTGTGCATTTTTATCATTTAACCAATAAAAGAGCCTCTCAAACTAAGTGATCAAACTATGCCCTAATGAATTATTGATAGAACTTAGAGAGGTCTTGATCATGATTTCTGATCTCCAGAATCTACAGCTTTTCCTTGGATGGACAGTACTTATCCTTAATTGTACGAGGTGAAATGCTAACAGTCACTTAACCTTTTTGCACCTCTCGTCCTATCGTGCATTGATTCCCGATGTCTGCGGCAGGAAAGACACTTTGTGAGTATAGTTTTGCGGTCATCATTCCCTTTGCTTTATTTTATGATTTGGCAAATCCGACAGAGTGTGACAAGACACAACAAAACAACTTACCCACAATTTACCCAGGCGATGGTGCCCTGCCCTTTTACGGCTTCTGCCACATCAGACAAGAGCTTGAGGGAGCGTTCAGCTGCAGCAGCTATGACACAGTGAGAGAGCAAACAAGGGCGTTACTGAGCACTACTTGGCACTGTTGTATTGTGCAGCTCGCTGCAACAAACATTAGCATTCTCTCACTAAATCACCAATGTAGAGTGGAGACCGTGATTACCTCCTTTATTAATAATGCAGGAGATTGGAGCACCAGAAAAGACCATCTGCCTGGTCCCAAAGTAAATAAAAATTATATTAAAATAAACAATCCCACACATCTCGATCTCTCAAACCGCTCAATTAATTGCTTCTCCAAACTGCTACCAAATTGACTCGTATTTGGTAATACAATCTGCCTCCACTGCGTAGCCTACACCACGTGTAAAACTAATTCAATCTCAACCGTATGTTCACCTGCACACAATTGTTTTTCTGTTTTGCTGGAGCCAAAGGGAGAGAGTCTGTGAAAAACAACCGGATAGGTTGAAAAATGGGAGTTGGTGAGATTAGATAAATGCTCTTATAAATTCTCAGCTGGATTGCCTTTGAAGCTCAGGGAGAAATTATTTGGTATCAAGCGATGAAATCCATTGGATTGCGATAGATTGCCATGAACAGTAGACAATTATTTCTGCAGGAACAACCCAAAAACTGGGAAGAAAGACAGAGGCAGTTCCTACCCACAAAAATCATCAACTAATACCTGACAAACAACAACAACATGGATTTATATAGTGCCCTCCAAGCCGGATGACATCTCAGAGCGCTTCACAGTGACGATTCCCGGGGCCGAGACACGGGGAGGGGGAGGAAGTTGACCAAAAGCGCGGTCGAAAAGAAAGGTCTTCAGAAGGGACCTGAAAGTAGGAAGAGAGGGGGCGAGGTGAAGCGAGTGAGGAAGGGAATTCCAGAGCCTCGGGCCATAGTGGCTGAAGGCACTATGGCTCAAGGGTGGAGCGGAGGACTCGGGGGACAAGGAGGAGGCCAGACTCGGAAGATCGAAGGCAACGGGTACTGTTTTGAGGAGAGAGGAGGTCAGAGAGGTGGGGGGGGGGGGGGGGGGAGGAGTGCAGGGATTTGAATACAAGGGTGAGGATCTTGAAATCTTGAAACCACTTTGTACAGAGCTGGTTCGTTTCGCCCACAAAATATACAGTCAGGTCACTTTACAGTATATTCTGTGAAGCACTTTGAGACGTCTGGAAGACGTGAAAAGCGCTACATCAAATGCAAGGATTATTATTATATTGTCTTGTGCTAATAGACACTCAGGTTCAGCATAATAATTATGTTTGATATAGCATGAGTGACTAAATGCTGAACTTGGGCTGTAAATGGAACCGGTTTGCAAAAAAAAACCATGATAACAGCTCACACTTTACCCTTCATAACACAATTCATGCCGTGTGCAAACTAATGATTACAACTAGTAATTTCAATGAGACAATCCTAGCAGAGGTTTGCCTTTACCTGAAGTTTTACGAGACGCTTCCACTTCATAAGCGCAATATCAAATGCAAGCATTACTGTAATAAACACAATAAATAATCCTTGCATTTCGTATAGTGCCGTATTATGTCTTTGAGACGTCTCAAAGCGATTCACCAAATACACTGTAAAGTGAATTGGCTGTATATTTTGTGGGCGAAATTATTACTCATGGATTATTATCGTTTTGCCCACAAAATACACAGTCAATTCACTTTGTAGTATATCCCATAAAGTGTTTTGAGACATCTCAACGATGTGATAAGCAGCTATATTATCCTGTCACAAGGACAATAATAAAGACACAAAATGTGAATAAAGACACGAAACGTGTTGACCTGATTTGGAGTAAACAACCAGTACGTTATTCCTTGTTCGCACCAGTTTCTTGAATTCTTTGTGATCCTCGACTTTTTCAATTAGTGGAGACACTTTTGCTGCCATGAGGCACGTGGACAATACAGCCTTGAGGGAGAGAACAGGAGATCAGTCGCAAGGCAATGGAGAAAAAGTCCTTCAAAGAGAATAATCCTCGTCATGACTCAATTGATTTATGATAAATCTGGAAGCAGCTCGGAATTTAAGCAAAGAAACAGGCACTTGTCAGTTTGACTGCAACATCCTCTGAGTTAATGTCCAGCCAAAACAAATTACACAAACACCCAGTACAGTAGTTGCATCTGAAATGACACTGGGCCTCCTTAGCAATGCCATTTAGCCTAGATACGTTTCCAGGGGTACGAAAAATAAAGTTAACTTCAATGTCAGTTTGGTTCAGCCCCTCACAAGGACTTTGAGCTCACAAACACGGGCTGCCAAACCCTGCTCCAGCCGCTCCTCCCCAGGCCCGCTCCACCATCAGCTTCTCTTCCCCATACCTTTGGAACTCCATCCCAGTCCCTTCGCCTTGCTCCCTCCCTCGCCTCCTTCAAGGCCCTTCTCAAGACCCTCCTCTTCGACTGCGCCTTCAGTCACCCTCCTACCTCTAATCTCCCTGCCCTCCACCCCACCTGATCCCAACTCTCAGCTCGGGTTCAAATCCCTGACTGTCCAGTGCCTTGGGACGTCCTCCCGACATGAAAGATGCTGTGGAAATATCATTTGTTGTTGCATTGTTGGAAGTGCCATTCTTTGGATAAGATGTTGAATCATTGGTCCTGTCCGGCTGGTTTAGGTGGATGTTAAAAATCCCCATGGGACCCATTACCAAAAAATTGTGTAACTGTCTACGGATCGATATGCTTGTTTCTTTTAAAATGCATCAAAAATCATTAGTTCGTCATTCATGGCCTACTTGACTTTCCTGGCACAGACTGCAGACTGAGTTTGCCCAATGTACATAAATCAAAGTAACTCATTGTATAAAATGCTTAGAGGTTTGATGTGATAGGCGTGGCACCAAACACAATTCGCTTCAATCATTGTATATCCATTTCATTCTATGACTACCTTGTTGGGTATTTAACTTGTTACCCGCAAAATATTCATTGGGTTAACGAGAATTTTTTTTTAAAAAAAAGTTGATCCTGTCAAAGCTTTGGGTGTGACCCAACTCTCTTTCAGGTGTACTGATTGATCTGCTGTGAGTTCCCACCACTTTATGGCTTGCGTTCACATTTCTAGAACCGAGTTTTCCTGTCCTAGTTTCTTTGTTGTCTTACTGCATTTTATAATTATAATATGATCCTTGCAAATTGGCTGCTGTGTTTGCCCACAAATGCACAGTCACTACAGCTGCCGTTTTTCTCCCAGTTTTTTTTCCAAGATATTCTATGACTTTCTTGGACCGTTTTTTTCTTCCTCTCTATCGGCCCGTTTACCGGTCGGTTGCTGCTGCCACTTTCTTTTCTTTGTTCTTTTTGGCTGCGTTCTTCTAAAATGGTTCTCACATTCAGTTTTCCTTTTTGCACTACCTCTTGACTCTCAAGACCTTTCCCATGGGCTGCAGCTGAGGTTTTCACCCTTCTTTTTTCACTAATATTGATATATATATATATACAAGCACTCCGCATGAAGGGCGCTATATAAATGCAAGTTATTGTTGTTGGTGTTGATTACCCATTGCTCTGCGTTCTACTCAAAGTCCACACATAGAAAGTTAACCTATTTCAGATGCTGATGGAGTTTAATCACCTTGCTGTGAATTTCCAACATTTCCTATTTTCCACTTCAAATTACTTGGCTTTTTAAAAAAATCATCCTATAATTTACATATTTTCTACACAGGCACGTGTAAATGTGCACACTCGTATTAAAAAATTTGCAAGACAAAGTACAGATAATAACGAACCTTGGCAGTCAGATCTATTATTCACAAGTACAAAATTGCCCGAGTCCCTTGCGGCAACAGTATACTAGCCGCCAAAGCTAGCAATGCTTTTTCGTACAGTGTTATCTGATAAGACAACAAAACACAACCAGAGAATATCAGCCACACTTTGAAAGAAATAAAAATTGGCGGACTGGGTTCAAGGATAATTTTCACTCAAACTCAAAATATAGTCAATTTACTTTACAATGTATTCTGTGTAGCGCTTTGAGACGTCTCAACGACGTCATAAAGTTCTCTATCAAATGCAAGGAATATTATTATTATTTGTATTATTGTCTGCAGACCCAGACAAAGTTGAGAAGAGTTTTTACTTTGTCTATTCTCATAGATAACATTTATTTTCCCTGCTGGTGGCTCCAAAATGTTTCTCATTTTGGAGCCATCAGCAGGGAAATCAGATTGGCAAAACGAAGGCTAAACACATGCGAGTTTGATGATTTTATGCCAAACCGCCTTCATATTTATTTGAATTTTGCGCTCACCTAGGCTGAGGGAGCTTTACGGTGAAAAACCTTCCTATTTCAGATTCCCAGCATGAGTATCAAATGCTGCCTAGTCATATGTTTCGTTGCTTATTGCATTTTTCTTTGTACTAACAAGGTACTTGAGACCCAAGAACAGCCCTCCGTGAAGCAGCAAAACATTTTCTATCTCACTCACCATCCATTGTGTTGCTTTGAGATTTCATGACAGTTTAAGGCTGTTGTGTTGCAAAGCGATGCCAACTATTGTATGATGCAAGTTTCATGTTTGTATCTTATTGGCTATTATTAGAACCAACCCTAGCAATGTACCTAAGAATTTTACGTCGATGTAGACAGATTCAATTTATGCATCTCCACCCTTATAATAATAATCCTCGCATTTGATATAGCGCCTACTTCGAGTCATCTGAAAGCGCTGTATATCCTGAATATACTGCAAAGTGAATTGACTGCATATTTTGTGGGAGAAAGGCGGCAGCCAATTGTGCACAGCAGTTGTGGATTGAGTGACCAATTTATTATTTTTCTTTTGAAGAATTATTACCCCCAGAAAAGCGATCCGCCAATCGACTAACAACCAGGTTCCTACTTACTGCTCAGTAAACAGCGGCGTGTGGGGTAAGAAAACTTGCTCAACATTTCGCCCTGCCGGGAATCGAACCTGGGTCTCTTGCTTGCCAGGCCAGTGCTCTAACCACTGACCACCCTTGTGCTAAAGATTAAAATAAAATACACAAAATACATAGTGAATCCACTTTACAATACATTCTGTGAAGCGCTTTGAGATGTCTCGATGACGTGATAAGATGCTATATAAAATGCAAAGATTATTATGACAACAATATTTTATAAACTGCAGAGCATCTACATTTGTAAATGTAATTTGCATCATACATTACACAATGTAAAGCTATTTAAAGTAATGCTTACATATAATGTACAAAAGTATTGTATGCCAATATTTTTACATTAGGAAAACAAGCTAGTTCTTTAAGTTGAAAAAACTCACATTAAAAAATCTCAATAACTAACACTTAGTGTCGCTGAGCTGAGTTACACACTCAGTTACTCCACTTCTAGTACAAATCTTTAAATATTTATTTTGTTTCCCTTTGTCAAGTGCTTTCGTGGAATCATAAATTTGCAACAACAACTTGCATTGTAACAGCAATCCCTCACACAGGGTAGCGTCTCAGAGCGCTCGACAGTGGTGGAGCACCATACCGAGCCGGGGAGGGGGGGAGGTGACCGTGAGCACGATCGAAGAGGAAGGTCTTCAGGTGCGACCTGAAGATGGGAACGGAGGGGCAAGGTGGAGGAATTGAAGGAGAGTGTTCCGGAGTTTCGGGGTGTAGTGGTTGAAAGCAGGTCACGGTTTCCTTACAGCGAGAAGACCATTTGGCTCACCGAGTTGGCACAGACTCTCAGTTTCAATCCCACTGCCTTGCCTTATCTCCATTCTGCTTCAAACCTCTATTCTATCCTCTGAGCCACTTTTATGTGAAAGGCTATAAAAATGTAATAATGTTTGTTTCGATCAATGGTGTAGCCTGTAGACAATATCTACTTGTTTGGGTAAGCGCTTGCATCCACTCTCCGAGAGGTAACACACGTCACTCTACTATTCCACAACTGATAGGAGATTTTGCGTTTCCTCTCTCAAGCATAATAACCCAGCCGGAGCAATTTACAAAATGCCAATCGATCGGGTAACGTATTGCATAGAATCATAGAATTTTACAGCACTCATGGCCATTCAGTCCATCGTGCCTATGCATGGCTGTGCTGCATTACCATTTTTTTTTTTAAAAAGCACTCTTTATTGACTCCACAAACATTTACTCAAGTAAACAGATCGAAAATCACTTCCATAGGTAAGCAAACGAAGGGCAAAGAAATTGCTGAGATTTGTTTTAGGGAAGCAAAAATTTCTAAACAGAAGTTTTCTGCAAAGAAGTACTATTACCCTTTATTATCACTACCTTTCCAGCTCATCTCAAAAAATCTTTTTAAACTGTTCAGGCATTTATTTAGCGTCTTTATTAATGATTTAACTGAAGCTGCCTCAAAAGGCACCTCTGAATGACGACACTTCTTTTTACAGTACATTCCGTGAAGCACTTTGAGACGTCTTAACAACGTGGTAAGTCGCAATATCAGATGCAAGGATTATTATGTTATTATTACTTGTTCTAACCTTTCCTCTACTCAGTTAACGATCCTAATTTAAGGTATCAGCCTAGCTCTGTTGGTAGCACTTTCACCTCTGTGTCACAAAGGAGTCCCACCTGAGGATGTTGAGCTCATAGATTAGGCTGCCGGCCAATGCAATTTAACACTATTTAAGGCAATGTGCCACCTTCATTATTAGAATCATCCTTCAAACAAGAAACCGAGGTCCCATGTGCTCAGGTGATCATTAAATGTCCCACAACATTATTTGAAAAGACATGTCCTGGCCAACATTCCCCAAGATAAAAAAAAAAATGGTTCATTTCATGGCTGTTTGTGAGGCATTTGCTGAATGCAAATTGACAGTCACTACACCTGACAGAAATTACTGTACTGTGAGGCACAGATAAGATTTAATTGTAAGCTCTTTCGGCACTGGAGCTGAAAATACAAAAGTCTTTACATATAACACGGCACCTTATCATGCCATCAAAAGAGCTTCACAAGATTTAAAGTGTAGTGACTGTGTGCTTGCAGGCAAACGGACTGTCTGGTTCTAATCACTTCTAATGAGAGCATTGTCGACGTTGAGATACTTTCAATATTGGGTGGTTAGGAGGGTGACCGAAGGCGCGGTCGAAGAGGAGGGTCTTGAGATGTGCCTTGAAGGAGGCGAGGGAGCGAGGCGAAGGGACGGCGGGCTGGAGTGGAGGAGGTAGAGAGGTTGAAGGCTCGACCTCCGGCGGTGGGGCGGGCTGGGCAGGGGACGTGGAGCGGGCCAGAGCAGAAATGAGCGGAGGAGGCGGACAGGCTGGTAAATGGGGGTCAGCAGGTCACAGACGCAGGGAGGCGCAAGTGGATGGACTTGGGTATGCTTTCTGGGCGGAACGCGGCTGTGTCCGACCAAATTGTGGCGATGTGTGTGTGTGAGTGTGTGTGGGGGGGCGAGTGATAATAATAACCGTAACGATAAATAAATCCTCGCATTTGATGTAGCGCCTCGTCACTCCTGCGAGACGCTCAAAGCGCTTCGCAGACAATAGGGAGTCCTTCGACCGTGCCTTCAGCTCCCCTCTCTACTCTCTACTCCCCTCCTCCCTCCCCTCACCCTGACCATCTCCCCCCCCCTCCTCCCTCCCCCCCACTCCCAACGCTCGGGTCCCGACCCCAACTGTCCAGCGCCTTGGGACGTCCTCCCGACGTGAAGGGGCGCTCTGGGAATGCAATCATGTTGTTGTTGTTGTTGTAGTAGTGTTGAGGGGGAAGCCAAGAGCGAATGTCCTGCGGGATGCTGGTTGCCAAGGTAACAGCTGACCCCCCCCCCACCACCCTCTCGGCCGAGCGCCCGACCGCCGCCAACGGCCGTTAGCCGACCCGCCTAAACCCGGCCGCAAAGGTCCCGAACCACGGCAGCTCGGCTTTCCGAGCCGAGCAGCGGAGAGGAAGCACTCACCAGGAGCAGCAGGAGCCGAGAAACCGTTGTGGAAGTGGTGGCGCCGGTGGCGGCGGCGGCCCGGTCTCTGAACGGCGCCATCTTGCCACGTATGGGCCGAGCATGCGCAGTTAGCGGGGAGGCACGGGCGGCGCGGTGCACGCCGGGGGTTGGGGTTCGCCGCCTCGTCTCCACTGGGCGGCTTCGTCGTCGGGCGGACTACACTTCCCGTCGGGCACCTGGCGGCCCCAGCAGTGACGACGACGACGGGGTGGGGGGACTACAAATCCCGTCGTCCTTTGCTCCGAGTCGCCCCCTCTGGAACTACATCTCCCGACACGCTCCGCGCCCCCCACCCACCACTCACTCGATCGCCGACCAGAGCTGGCGCAGGCGCACTCGCAGCCTGGCGGTCAGCTGAAGGATGCTCCAACTCAAATGGTCCACAGACTGGAGTGGAACACGGGAATAAGATTAGGGAAAAGGGAGGGGGTGGGGGAGGGGAGGGAGAGTGGGGGATTTGTTTAATGCAAGAAAATGCAATTAATGAGACCACCCCCCCCCCCCCAAAAAAAACCAAACATGCACGTTGCTGTTCCCAGATGCATTGATCAATAAAGAGTGCTATTTTGGGGGTGGGATGTTACATGTGGTTTAGATTTGGTAGGGAGTGTGGTGTTTTAAAAGCAGTCTCTCCCCCCCCCACTCTCCTCCTCCTCCTCCTGTCTGCTGAAGGCAATTGGTGCATTCCTAAACAGACTGTGGGAACATGATTTTGGTGGAGAGAGAGAGAGAGAGTGTGTGAGTGAGTGAGAGAGAGAGAGAGAGAGAACAGACGCTTTGCAGATCAGCCCTTGTGGATACTACATACTATAACCAGTGGATTGTACAGAGGGCAATTTCCCAAATACATCCAGGATTAAGGGGTACCAAGGAGAAGGTCTGGGGAAGGAGAGAAAAAGAAGAGAAGAAGGAAAAAAAAAAGAAAGGGAGGAGAGGAAAACAATCATCCCATTACTTGTTAAATTAAATCCACAATTCTTTCCAACCCCAACTGTGGTGAGTAAGTAATGCAATTAATAACTTTCTTCTTTTTTGGAGGGAGGGGGGTTATTTTTAAAAAAAATAAGCTTTTTTTTATATTCGTGCAGCTTTTATCCTTAAGCTTTCTCCAACCCAAGAAACAAACCCAAAAAAAAAAAAAGTTTGGAGCAAGTTTTAGTGAACTTTTTCTGGTTGGGACTCGATTCGAAAATTGAGTCGCACTCCCGAACAAAACCACGAAATGGGAATAAGGAATAACTTTCTTCTTCTTCTTTTTTTTTTCCTGTTCTCCGACTGTGTGGGTACAGCAGAACCCAAGAGGAGAAGAGCGTGAGAATTTGCCAGGAATATAAAAAAAGAGAGAGAGAGAGAGAGAGAGAGAGGGAGAGAGAGATTGGGTTCAGGTTGATCTCTCTCTCTCTTATCTAATTCTCTTGTGGTGCACTAAAACCTTTGTGCAAAAAGGGCTTTCTGTCTTGAACGAAAACGCGCACTTCCAATCCCTTTTAACGCACGTAATGTCTTCTCTCCCACTCTCTGGTTCTCCTGCACCAGAAGCGCTTTTTTCTTTGCGCTGCTGTGGGAACGTTATGCAAAACCAAACCGGGAGGTAAAAGATGCGAGAAACCTGAGCAATAACTTAGACCATGTCCTGTGTGTGTGGGGGTGTGTGTGGGGGTGTGTGTGGGTGTGTGTGGGGGTGTGTGTGGGGGTTTATCTGATGCCGGTGGTGTGCGCTTATTAATTAAAAGCTTCGCTCGGTTTACAGTCGGAGCTGTTTGGCTGCGATGCAATGAGTTGGAAGAGCTGTTCTGCACCAACTGGGTTTTTTTTTTGGGGGGGGGGGGCGAGAGAGGCGTAATATTTCCCCCTTTCTCCCCCCCCCCCCTTTCATCCCCGAATTCAATGCATTCGTTGCATCGTTGGAATTGGAGAGTAATGGTCGGTTTCACTGTGTGATATTTTTTTTATTGTTCTGTTTGGAAACGAAGCGTCTGATTGATTACCTTTGGCACTCAGCAGCAGATTTATTTATACATATAAATGCACATCTCGTGTACGTTGTATTATATATTATGTGTATACACACATATATCTACACACACACACACATATATATATATATGAGAGAGAGAGATCTCTCCCTAAATGCACATTTATTGTACGTGGTGACCAAAAAGGTCGTATTACCCTTCTAATAAGTCTTAAAGAAATGATCATTTTTTCTAGGTATTAGGGTAGCTTCACGACTTTTTGTTCACCCTGTAAATATATATACACACACACACACACATTTGCACATTTATTTATATATCCAGTGTATGTATATATAATGCATACATACATATAATTTGGACAAGTGTTTTGCATATATAAATGCAAGGATTATTATTATTATTATTTGCCCAAATACCAGACAAGTCAGTACATTACAGTACAGACATTGCATTTGGCTAGGTGAGGGAAGAGAGAAAAAGATGTACGTCTTTACTCGATTTTAAAGGGGGGGGGAAGCCTTTGAAAGTTAAATATATTGGGTTAAAAATAGGGAAATGGATGGATTAGCATTTCTTTTTGGGAGGGGGGGGGGGGGGTGTGTTATTTTTTTGGATCGAGCATTGATTGGAATCTTTGCACCCAAGAGAGATAGATAGATAAATAGATAAATAGATAGATAGATAGATAGATGAATAAAGAGATGAAAGTTAGAGAAAGAGAGAGACAGATCGTTTCGTTGTGTGTGTGTGTGTGTGTGTTTGTTGCTTGGAATCACTCTTATGTTGTATTATTGTGCTCCTGGCCATTCCAGCTTTCAGATCACGTTTCATTCCACTATGAGATAGATGCTTTTGAAGGCGTTGTGCAAAGCAGATATTTCTTTTATTCCCCCACTACCCCCTCCCCATCCCACCCCCCCTCCCCCAACCCCCACCCCTATGCATTTCATCAAGAAGACAGAGAGAGAAAAGTGTTCATTTCGAAAGTTTTATCTGACCAAGCAGCGCGCCGAGCAGGTTTGAGAGTCATTTTTTTATCATAATAACGATAACAATTGTTGCCTTTGGTATATAACGCCTTCTCGCGTCTTCGAGACGTCTCACGGCGCTTCGCAGAATAGATCGTAAAGCGTAGCGACCGTGTATTTTGTTGGGCGAAACGCGGCAGCCAACGGCGCACAGCAGGGTTCCCCCGCACCCGGTCGTGGATCGAGGGACTGCAAATATTTTTTTTTGACAATAATAGTTTAAAAATAATACATTTTTTTTAAAAAAAGGAAAGCAAAACTGTTGGTTTAAGTGGCATCGAGGCTGACAGCATAAGTTCCCGGGCCAGTGGGGGCAGGAAAGGTGAGCTGTATAGTACGTGGTTGGTTAAGATTTTGATTGGAAATTATATGTACATAAACACATTGCAAAACGTCTGTGCAAACTTGTGCCTCGCATTTTGTGAAATCTCTGTTAGTTTAGCCCATTATCACCCGTCCTGTTGGCATAATGCATAATTGTATTCTGTTTTTATTATGATTTTTTTATGAGTCGTCTTTGCAACGGTTCAAAGTCTGCACTGTGGCTCAATAATCTGTTGGTGTCCTCGTTATCTAACAGTCTAAGTGTAACTTGGAGCTGGTTAGTTTTACAGTATTCTTTCCCTCCCACACACACACACACCTCCACACCTCCATATACAGTGTACATAATACATATAGTATACATTATATATAATGTATAAACCTTAGGCAAGTTTCCCCTCCACACGTCTCTGTTTACCCGGCAGTAAGTAGGAACTCGGTTGTTAGTTGATTGGCGTATCGCTTTCCAGGGATAATAATTCCTCTCTCACCTCTTCTCCCCCCCCCCCCCAACCACTACCACCCACCAAAGAAAATGTGGTAACTCAATCCACGGCTGTTTGTGGGGCCGCTGCTGTGCGCAATCGGCTGCCACATTTCGCCCACAAAACACACAGTCTTTTCAATGTATTCTGTGAAGCGCTTTGAGACGAAAAGTGCTACATCAAATGCAAGGATTGTTATTATTATTATTATTATTATTATAAAGCAGACTGTGCTGTGCGTTCTTCACCTTGTGTAGGCTCCAGAGAGAGAAAGAGATCATCTAATCGTGTTTCAAATGGTTCGCTTGATTTGCCAAGCCCTTGAGCGTGTTCTGCAGGGTTGGCTGGAGGTTGCCAGAAAGTGTGCGGTAGGGGAACGAGCACTGAGTATACGTAGATGCTCCCTGTTTGTTTGTTTGTTTGCGTTGCTGCTCATGGATTAAACTCGTTCCATTTGCCTGTGACCTGAGGTCCTCTCGTCAGAGGCTTGACAGAGAGAGGAGTGGGGGAGAGAGAGAGAGATGATATGAAAGATAGAGAGAGAGACCATGATTTGACTTTGAACAGAACTTCTATTAACATGGGTGGGTGGTGGGGGGGGGGGAGAGGGGAAAGAGCGTAAAAGCTTCTATGGAAAGGATCCAATGTACTTATCCAAAGATGAAAGGTGTTTGAAAACAGCAAAAAGCTAAATGGAGCAATTTATTCTTCAGGGCTGTTAAGAGTATAATTTGTTAATTTGTTTGCACCCAGAGATAGTGCAAAGAGCTGTAGGTGAGATCAACTTCTGGGTGAGATGCATGGAATTCTCAGTTTGGTTTGGAGACTGTTAAGTACGGTGATGGGTTTCCGCGTGTGTCGGACACTCAGCCGACCCCCCCCCCACCCGCCGGAAATTAAACCAACGACAGCAATTTCCTTATGTAATGTTTTTCTTGTCACAAGGACATGCTCTGGGACGCTACACCGTGTGAGGGGCACACCGTAAACGCGAGCTGTTTTTTGTGGAGGACTTCTGAAAGTGCTTCAAGGCAACTGAAACCCTTAATTTGCTCACAGTCTCATTTAAAACCATTTAAAGCCAAACTGACAAACTGCACCAGAAACTTCTGTGCTCTTTTTCGACCTCCTTTGAATTTCATCACACATCATTTGTTTTAAAAAAAAATGTTTTTTTTTAAAATGAATCCGGTAGTTTTGCATACTTTTGGCTGAAAGCCCTCTCGCCTCCGAGTCAGAAGATTGTGATGCTCCAGTACAGCACTGGGGGGGGTGTTGTATTGTCTGAGATGCCGTCCTTCGGATGAGATGTTAAACCGAGCTCCCAGTTTACCCGTTCGGGTGGACGTTAAAGATCCCGTGGCGCTATTGGAAAAGAGAAGGGAATTTTTCTCTCTTTTTCTTGGTGTTCTGACCATCAATCCCCCAAATAAAATTGGTCACTCACAGCCACAGCTGTTTGTGGGACACAGTTTTGCGCAATGGGCTGCCGCGTTCGCCTACTAACACACTCCATTTTGCGGTAAATCTTGCAAAGCGCCTTGAGACGTCCTCCCAACACGATAAGGTGCCATACCAAACCGCAAGGATTCCGTTCGGTGTAACTTAGAACGATCTTTCTGTGTCGCGCGATCACTTCGCGCCGTTGACATTTTGATGCCGCTTCAGTTTAACAGTGCGACACATTCTGTCTCGGCCCGTTTTATTTTCCAGATCTTTAATTTGTGAATTATATATTTTGTTCAAAAAGAATTAATTTGCACCTGGGTGCTTTTGGCTCAGCTGGCTGTTATTCTAATCCTCGATTGCGTGTTTAGCTGTGCGTTTGTATGTCTGTGTGTGCGTGTGTGTGTGCGTGTTTTGAGGGGTGGGAGTCGCTTCTGGTTGAGCTGACACTCCTTTAGGAACATGGGGAGCTCAGGGGTTAACCCCACATAGCAATGAAGCCCTTGGTTTCAGACCCAGTCTTTTCCCCGGGATTATAATAATTCCTGAGGGCGGTATCCGAGCTTCCGACCCGTTTGGGTACAGTGCGGGATCCGCTATCCGCACATCCCTTTCTAATCTCGCAAATGGGACCTTGGTGCATCCCATCACCGTCATGAAAATTCAAGAGGATCAGGTAATCAGATAGCCGAGGCCGAGGAAGGCAGGAGGCTGATGGTTGTGTGCGCTTTGTTTGCT